AAGGAGTTCCATTTATTAGTTGAGCAGGTGGCTCACGCCTGTAATCCTAGCACTTTGGGAGGCCAAGGTGGGAGGATTGCTTGAGCCCAGGAGTTTGAGGCTAAAGTGAGCTGACATGACACCACTGCACTCTAGCTGGGACGACAGAGCAAGACTCTGTCTAAAAGAAAAAGAAAATTCCATTTACTGAGATGGGAAGGAGAAGATGGGAGGAATGCATGGAACCATGACATGAGTTCAGTTTTGCATTTCTTCATTCAAGGTGGCTTTGGGACACCCCAGGGATGATGTCCGGAGTTTGAGGAGAGATTGGAACTGGAGATACAAATTTGGAAGTCACCCACACATAATTTTAGAGCTGTGGGGCTAGATAAGATTACCTGGGAAATGAGTATAGCTAGAAAAGAGGTCCGAGAACTAAGCCCCAGAATATTCTGGTGTTTAGGAGTCAGGAAGACACAGAAGGTGCAGCAAAGGAGACAGGAGACATTGGTGAGGTAGGAGAACCAAGAGAAAGTGGTGACCGAGAAGCCAAGGAGTGAGTGATCACTGAGTCACACTACTAGTGAGAACCGAGGGATTGAATCAGAGTCCCAAGCCTCAGTCTGCAGAGCCCTGGGTCTGGCGGAGGTGCTGAGGAGCTCCCACGGGAGCCGGCGGGGCGGATGTGGTGGGGGTTGGGACAGGGCTTAGCCAGTAAAGTCCCAGGCCTCTCTCTGCTTCAACCAGATCTGCTCCACTTTTATCTTTTGGGTTTTCCATGTGAGATTCCTTTGAAGAAAAGATTCTCCTATTTAAAACACAAAACTTTGAAAACTGAGAGCACGTTCTACCAATGGGGAGGGGCAAATGTGGAGAGGGCCCCTCTGTGCAGGGCAGCCCCAGGGAAAGCCTAAAGCTGAGGTGAAAACCATAGAGCAGATATTTCTAAGGCCCGTGTCAACTCGAAAGCACTTGGATTCTACCTCTAGGTCCCAGCCCCTGAACAACAACCTCAGACTCCATCCACCCCATGCTGTGGTCTGATAATGACCTTGACAGAGACCTATGACCTGGCTGGCCATCACACATTGGCCTGATAACATTTATGGGCCTCTGCGGAGTGGTGTAAGAAGTTTACGTTTGATCAAAGTGCTGCCTTGAACTCTTTGACTTTGAAGAAAACTACTGGCCTGAGACGTTCACAGTGAGTGAGTCAGAAAACCCTTCCTTCCTCTGCCAACCCTGATCACCAGCTTCACAGTGTGCCCGGCCTCGGGCAGTGTCTGGACAAGGTCTCGTCCATCACGGCCAGCCTCCTACTAGCAGGGAAGTTGACTTCTCTTGGTCACTTCCCAAGTATCCTAAATTTTTCTTGGTTTCTCTTATACTGTAATCCCTCTGCCTTCTCTCAAGGTAAAATGTTAACAATTTAAATATCCAAAAATGTTCTTCTTTCCTTAGATGAAACTTTCTAAGCTCTATCAACTTGTATATAGGTCTGGGAAAGAAATACAATGATCTGCAGAAAATCTGAGCTTAGGTGAAGCAACTTTGCTTTCCTTTAACAAACTCTCATTTCCAATGCAGGATCCAACTGCAAGGAAATGAAGCATGAGTAGCTGAATTTAGAAATCTAATCTAGATTTTTAAAACCTGAGGCATAATCTATGACTCCTGTGTTCTTCTTCCACGACTTGGACCCTGTAGTTTATGAACTGTGATGGACCAAGTACATCTCCATTCTAAGAGAACATTGTAACTCCACATGTTATATAGGCAGTGTGGTACCATGACTTAAGATCATGCATACACACCCAACTAGCTTACCTACTGCAGTGGATATTTGTTGCTCTTTTTTGCACAACATCCTTTCTCTAGACCTTCCTTTGGGGAGTCACCTTTGCCCCACCATCATCCCTGTGGTTTGCTGAGGCTGACCCTCCCCCCAGCTATAGGGATGGACAGGAGACCATAGCCAATCAGAGCATTCCATCTGCCAGCCCAGAGATGAATGGGTAAAGGTCACAAAACCAATGGCAATCAGGCCTAGGACTTTGTGGAACCATTGCACAGGGGATAGGTAGTCTCCCTTCACTAAAACTGGAGTTATGGGGCATGAACCTGGGGCTACTAGCATCCACCTTGCCCCCAGGAGGAAGTGCTGAACTAACTTTAGAGCCTACCTAGAGGAGGGCAGAGAAGATGGATAAGAAGAGAGAAGGTTCTGGAGTCAGCTGTGCCTGAGGTCAGAGACATGAAATAAATTTCTTTTTTTGCTCAGGTAAATTTGAATTGGGTTTTCTGTCACTTGCAACCAAACAAATCTTAAATGATTCATCCTCTCTCAATCTTGACAGCTGAACCTTTAAAATGAGGATGTCAAAAACTAGTCAGTGCCTCAGTGGAGGCACTATTGGCATTTGGGATGGGACAATTCATTATTGTGCAAACTGTCCTCAAACTTCATTTTTGCCCCTCCCTCTAAATGCCAGAAGCACCCCTTAGTCCTTATGGCAACGAAGCATCCACCACCCGTTCCACTACACAAAGACACACACACACACACACACACACACACACACTTAAAAATGCCCCCTGGGGAGCAGTACTACCTCTAGCTGAAAACCAGCAAAGTAGAAAATCTCTAAGATCCCTTCTAACCGAGCTGAAATTAGCCATTTCATGTATCAGAAAGTAAGTTCCCTAGAGTCTAGCTTTTGCATCCATTGAGATCAATTTAATCTCTGTGTTCATTTCTTCGTAAAATGAGGACACTAACCTATAGCTATATGGGTCGATCTAGCAAAGGATTATCACGACAAATTCCATAATTTGAAATAATTCTGATATAACCTAAGGTGGACCCTTAACATTCACAGGGAAAATATCCTAAATGCTTTTGAATACCAATGTTGCATATAATTTGCCCCATTAGACAGTTAAAAAAAACCAGATATTGTAAAGTGATCTTTTCATACCCTGATTTGTCTATTAGTGATTAAGATAAGAATTAAAATCATTTATGAAGCTACTCCCTGCAGCCGTCATTTTTCTAGATCTCTTAAATTACATCTCCAGCAGGAGCAGTTGGCTGTGGGGGGGGAGGGTCACTTTTACAAAGCAATGGGGTGTGTCACTCCCAAGTGTTGCTGCAAGGATGACTAGAGAACAGGGAAGTTGATGGCCGGTGGTCAGCTATGCTCATCCACTTCTCCATGCCAATATCTTAGCTCCTGTAATTTCCTACATGTCATTCTTTGTTAGCCAAAACCACAAATGTTAAGTCTACAAATGCCAAGGACCTCCTGTACCACACAGTGCTGAGTATAAGAGAATAAAGTTTCCAGTGCCGTTTATAATTTATCAGTTTTTAAATCCATTTTTTATGTTACCTTTGTGATCTTTGAGAATTTGAGTTTTGTTTTTTGGTGTGTTTTTTTTTTTTTTTTTTTTTTTTTTGCTTTAATCCATGTTATTTTCCTTTCTTGGCAATTGTGTGATCTTTATGTTACTTCTCAAACGGTCTAAACTCTCCGCTGGCAAATTTAGATGTGTCAAGAGAGTGGGCTATGTTCCATGTGTTGCCTTTGAAATATGAGCACAATAAGATGACTTCACTTTGCGTGAGTACACCAACCAAATTCAGGCTGGGAAATACAGCCACGACACAGGCAGTCCTTTCATCCCAGCTCTCTTCAGAACTGTCATAAATTATTGCTGTTGGAAGTATTGCCAGGAGCCTGGGGCCAATTTTCATGTTGAGGAGGATTTGAGGGCTACCCTATACCACACTACAGACTCCACTAGCTAAGAACGCCTCCTCTCCACCTGAGCCCTCCCACGGCACACAGCAGTGGCTTTATGCAGCGGCATCTGCCCCTTGCAACAAAGCAGTAATTTCACGACTTGAAGGCTGAAAAAGATGTACCATAGAGGTCAGAGAAGTGGTAAAGAAAGGGGGAATAAAGGCAGGCAGTTAAACCACTTCTGAACTTTTAGAATTTCAGGCTGCACAGAAAGTGGCCCTGAAATCGAGAGTGAAACCTCACTCTTTGGTGCATTCATCCTTGAAGCCAAAAGTTGATGGGAAGGCTGGCTCTGAAAGCAGAACCCCATGCCTTCACGAATAGCACATTTAAGTAATTTCCCCAAATTTCCTACATTAGCTTTGCTTGAAATTACAGCAGTTGCCCTGAATAGTCTCCCTCATCTTCTCTTTGTTTCCTTTATCCCCCCACCTTCATTCCTCAGATTTAGGTCTTGCAAAGAAACTGAGAATATACAGTGACCCAGCCTCATGTGGGACTCTCTATACATTAAGGGAATGAAAGTGTCTCCAATCTTGTCTGTCGCTCCTTTATGCAAAGTAATCACCTCCAGCTGGGCCAAGTTGGTTGAGCAAATGTTCAGTTTTCACATGATTTTGCTGCAGTGCCATAATGAATGTATTTCTTTGATGGAAGAAAGACGCTTCGTGAAATAAACTGCTTAAGGATTTGGAGCTGGAGCCGAAACATGGGCTGCTTTGTTCTTACGACAACTGCTTCACCATCTAAAACATTTCTCCATTTTAAAGGCTCTGTCTTTTCTCTTCCAGCCACAACCCTCAAGCTACAATAACAGGCTCATGCTTTTTTTTTTAGAGGCCAAGGTTATGAATACTCTTTTATGAATATTTTCCTTTGAACTCATTTCTCTCAAAAAAAGAAAAATACCCCTATGTGTTGCAGGGTTGACAGTAACAGACAAAACGTACAAATTGTTCTCTTAGGGGCAGTAAAATGCTCCAGAATGCGCATTGAAAAATTCCAAATGCAACATAATGTTATGGAGCACTGCTTTTGCAGCTATAATTTTTAAAAACTAATATTTCTGACCAGCATGAATTATGGAGAACATATTTCAGAGATTAATATCAAAGTTAATACCTTAAAATGTCTCCCTTTATGACATCATGATTGCCTTTTCCATATTAGTGCAAACTCATAGTGAATAGAAGAATAGAATTCAATAAAGAATTCTATAAAGAAAACCTTTATTGAATTAAGCTGCTTATGTTTTTATTTTTCCTTTTATCCCATTTCAACATATCCACCAACCTCCTCTAAAAGTAATTCAACTAATGTCAACTCAACAGATTATAATAGATCTCCTATTAATGTCATTCTGCCTCAAAAAGAGCTTATCATTTAGGCTCAGAATTATGTATGTGGTACTGTCAGCTAATGTTTAGACTCCTTATTAAAACTTCTTTTCATTCTGTGTTAATATCATCAGTTAAACGATTTATTTTCTGTTGTTAAAAAAAAATGTGTTTTCCCTAAACTCCTTTCAAATGTTTTCTCTTATCCAAAAGTTAATCCAGAAAACTCAGCTCCCTTTAATCCTGCTTTTTGGCTTAGAGTATTTAGCCTAGAACCACTCGTGTTGATTTCTGTTATACCCATGCTAATGCAAAAAGAGCCTTTACTATGGCAGAGAAACCATTCTACATTGCCTCTGAAGCTTGCATTAGGTGAATTATGATAGCAATGATTTAAGAACGCATCCCCAGATTAAGAGAATGACCTATAAAACTTTCCAGATAAAATTGTTGCTTTGCACTTGGCACTAAGAATATTCTGCAAAGTTTTTTTCATGTGCAGAAGCAATTCTCTATAGTGGTTCCAAGCATAAGCTTTAGAGCCAGACTGCTTGGGTTCAAATCCCACTGTTGCCACTTACTATGTGATCTTGGAGAATACACTTAACTACTCTGAGCATCCTAACATTAGGTTATTAATAAAATAAGGCCTCCTACCTTATAGAAATTTTGTGAAGATTAAGTTGGTAAAACATATAAGGCATTTATGACTCTGGTACATAGTTGGCACTCAGTAAGTGTTAGCTCTTAATATTATAAACTCATAAAAGCACAATATCCCATTGTATAACTTTAGAAGCAGATTTTTAAGATATAAAGAAATCCTAGAAAAATCTTATTCTACAAATTTACCAACATGAAATTATAATGTTATATGTATAACATGGAATATATGTAATTGTGGCTATATTTTTTATACAATTATACATAGTCTTCTAGATAAAATTATATTTATCCTTTTCTTGCCTGAAAAAGTATATTTTAACAAGTAAATTACTTTCCTGATGACTTTCATTGTCACTGAACTTAAAGCTGCCACTGCTTCCCCACTCAACTTGTCTGTCTCACTCTCTACCCTGCCCTAGCACATTAGCTCTGTGAGTATTTACTAACTGTCTGCTCCGAACAGAGAACACGTAGAGAACAGTGGCCCCAACTAACTTCATCCACATGACAGGATCAATTTCCTAATTGTTCAATGGATCAAGTTTGTATTTCTAAATAACTGTTTCCTATTGCCAGAGACAAACTATGGATGCCTATGTGTTTCCAGAAAACAAATATGCTACAAGTAATCAACCAAACTTGAATATGACATAATTTACCTACACAAAAATTATCCTAACTGTTGTGCTACTACTGTGCTACCTTAATACTGACTCTAGAGTTCACACTCAGTCTTTTTGTGCCTTCGTCTCAACCCAAGACCAAAATAGCAAATACATGTAATTACATAGTTTAACAGGAAAAAAAAAAGCCAAGAAATTGTAATACAGTTTGATTATACCTATACAAGAAAAATCTTCGTTAAAAAAAAGTAAGGAAAAATTAAAGAGCTAATGTTGATTCTGTTAATATAATGCAATTACAGTTTTCTTCTTTTCTCCATTTCCCAATGTTTTTGTTATAGACAATATTATTTTTACAGTAAAAATGTTAAATTTTTGAAGCTCTATAAAGACTGGACTATGCATTAAATTATATAATTCTTCTTTATGTATATAAAAAAGAAATTCACATGGCATTTAACTCTGATTTTAATTTCCATGAAATTAATCCTACAAAGATTTCTCAAAGAAATTTGAGAGCCTTCAAACTACATCTCTGTTTTGAATTATACATGATAGATTCTCATGTATGGAAAATCATAAAACTAAGGCTACATATTGCAACAACCAGTTAAGTACTGTTTAGAAGACTATGATATTGAATAAATGAATCTGATTTTACTTCATGGTTTTTATCTAAAGAAGTTTTTAAAAGATATTTATTTTCTGTTTTCCTTACATGTTCCCTTTTTATCTTTAGATGAAAATTAATGAGCAACTTAGGACACAAAATAATTCTAGGATTCCTTGATCTCATATTCACCCACAGAATGAATCTATAGGGTATAAGTTTACACACACCATTTGTCTAGAATCAGATTATTTTAAATGATGCCTCGACTTTTGAATTTGATGCTAGAAGCAATTACCATAAACTAAATCAGACTATTGCAAATGAAGATATTCCAACACAAAGACTTGTATGATTTTGTTTAGATTATCAATGGTTGATTCATCCAAATTTTCTTCATTGTCATCCATGGTGTGCCAGACCTCAGGGAAAGGAGATGGTATCAGGTGCAGAACTGGAACACCTAAGAAAAAGAAGTGACTTATAACTATGTGCATATTTCCAGTGAGTGAAGTTGAAAGTGTCATTCTTCAAGCAGAGGGAACTGCACCATCTAAAGACAGCTGATAATTCATCACCTTCTATGCACTTCCTTATAGTTTACACTTGTACTCCAAAATCATTCATTCAATTAACAAATATTAACTCAGTAAATAATTATAAAGCACCTACTATATGCCAGTTCCTGTTCTAGGAGTTGAGGTTTCATTAGAGAAAAGGCAAAGCCATGCCCATGTAGAGCTTACAATCCAGTAGAGAGAGGATTAAGTAAACAAATATAAAACATAATTATTAAAGATCATAAGGCTTGCCGGGCGCAGTGGCTCACGCCTATAATCCTAGCACTCTGGGAGGCCGAGGCGGGCGGATTGCTCGAGGTCAGGAGTTCGAAACCAGCCTGAGCAAGAGCGAGACCCCGTCTCTACTATAAATAGAAAGAAATTAATTGGCCAACTAATATATATATAGAAAAAATTCGCCGAGCATGGTGGCGCATGCCTGTAGTCCCAGCTGCTCGGGAGGCTGAGGCAGCAGGATTGCTTGAGCCCAGGAGTTTGAGGTTGCTGTGAGCTAGGCTGATGCCATGGCACTCACTCTAGCCTAGGCAACAAAGCGAGACTCTGTCTCAAAAAAAAATAAAAAATAAAAAAAAAGATCATAAGGCTTATTGAGAATAATAAAACAAGGTAAGGGAATAGAGAACAAGAGGCAGGCAACAGGACCAAGAGAGAGACTATTTAAAGTTAGGAAAGGGCCTCCTTGAGAAACTAACATTTATTTTTTTATCCTTTTTATTTATTTATCTTTGGGGGGGGTGACACAAGGTCTCACTTTGTTGCCCAGACATGAGGGCATGTCATGATCATAACTCACAGCAACCTCAAATTCCTGGGCTCAAGCAATCCTCCCATCTCAGCCTCCTGAGTAGCTGGGACTACAGGCAAGCACCACTATGCCTGGCTAATTTTTTTTATTTTTTATAGAGATGGGTTCTCAATATGTTGCTCAAGCTGGTCTTGAACTACTGACCTCAAGTGATCCTCCCGCCTCAGCCTCCCAAATTACAGGCATGAGCCACCACACCCAGCTGGAGAAGCTAACATTTAGCAAAGGGAAAGGAGGCCATGTGGAGATCAGGGCTGAGCATTCCAGGCATCAGCATTAGCAAGTGCAAAGGTCATGAGGTAGGAGTGAGCTTGGCCTGCTTAAAGAACAGCAAGAAGGCCAGTGCGGGTGGATCAGAACAGCAGGAGAGAGGTAAGAGGTGATATTGAAGAGGGAGAGCAGAGTCACAAAATGGAGATCCTTGAAGGTTATGGTAAAGACTTTGGGTCTTCTATGTGATGGACTTAAAGTCACTAAAGCTTTAAAACAGGAAAGCGGCATTTGATTTACATTTTTAAAAAGATGGCTTTAGCTCCTACACAGAGAATAGAGAAGATAGAACAAAAGATGGAGACCAATTGGGAGGCTACTGGAAGAGTCCTTAGGTTGATTTAGGTGCCTATCAAGGATATTGCTTCCTTATTGACCAGAACATGCCGGAGTGGCATAAAGTGTAAGAATACAATCTAACTCTATGAAAGGGGAGGCAGGATGTCAGTGGGGTGTGAGCTTTCACACATATTCTAGGTGTAGGAAAAAAATAAGGGTGCCTTCAAGGATTTGGAATGACTTTTATGAGGAAATAGAAGCCATGATGGATGCCTTCATATGATGGATGATTTATAATTAATCAATTTATTACATTTAACAGTTCTTCAAACTTCTAGATTGTTGTAAAACAGGGAATAGGAATTATCATTGAGGTCCAGTGCTGCATCTTGATATTATTCTTAGATGTCACCTTGAAAATCTAAAACTGAATGTGTGTAAGATGTGGATGTGGGACCAGAGAAGGGGCAGAATTAAAGATGACTCCAAGAAGTCTGGCCTGTGCAACTGGATTAATGTAGACTGTCTACCGAGAAGGGCAAAACTGGAGAAGGAGCACTCACTTTCAGGCCAATCATTCCTCCATATCGATGAACAATGATGAGCTCTGCCATTTCATCTGATAACCCTAGAGTGGAGTGGCCTGGTAAGGACACGTTAAAGCATAAAAGGTTGCATCTGAAAATGTCGCATCTTAAGATGTTGCACCTGGTGTCAATAAAGATCAGGCGAGGGGGTGTCTGGACTTCTTCCCTCCCATTCAGTTTGGTTTAAGCATGGCATATGATCAGAAGATACATATTAGTGAAAACTTATTTGTAGCACAACATGTACACTTCTGTTTTAAAGAAAGGTACTCATTCAAATTAATTTTATTGTCCTTTAAATCATTTAGAATCGTTTTAGATTGGTTCAGGTCATTAATATCTAAATTTGGCACAATCTTCAAAGAAGGATGGTCTTAATGATTCAAAGTGCACCAATTACTATTCATGTTTAATTTCCTTCTCAAATTTATGCAGCAATTAGAGACCTGGAGAGTTTTACTGCCGAAGTGAGGTATATCTGATGGCACCAGAAAGCTAAATAAGGTTTGGAAATGAGCCAAGCCTGAAAATATTGACCTACTCTTTGAAGAGTGGATAGGTAGGCAGGGCACGTTGGTTCATGCCTGTAATCTTAGCACTCTGGGAGGCCAAGGTAGGAGGATTGCTTAGCTCAGGAGTTGGAGACCAGCCCAAGCAAGAGTGAGATGCTGTCTCTACTAAAATTTTAAAAAATATCCAGGCATCATGACACATGCCTGTAGTCCCAGCTACTCAGGAGGCTGAAGCAGGAGGATCGTTTGAGCCCAGGAGTTTGAGGTTGCATTGAGCTATGATGACACCACTGCACTCTACCCAGTGCAACAGAACAACACTGTGTCCAAAAAACAAAGAGTGACATGTAGTCTTGGAATTTCAAAATGCACATAAAATACAATAAATATGATAGTTTAAAAAAGTACACATACACACACACACACACACACACACACACACAATACCTCTTCTCAAAAATGGAATATGGTCATCCTGAATCACACCTCCAGAACCATAATTCTGGAAGTACTGCCTCTCTGAAGAGTGATCCTTGAGCAGACCCAATTCCTGAAGTTCATGTTCTGTAGATGACAATTAGACAATAGATAAACATCTATTTTTATCTGATCAAAACTCAGAATGTATCCTTCTTTAAGGAGCTCAAAATCTTAGCACACTTGGCCATAATTCTTAAAAGATTATGCAACAGTAGGCATGACCACACCCATGACAATAAGCATTTGGGTTGAACTTGGGTGTGTACGTTTGGGAGTAAGAGGAGAGAAGAGTCACACATGGCTCTAGCCCTACAGGTGAGAACCTCCTTAGAAGTAGAAACTCAACAGAACAATGGAGAGCTGGAGAATGAGAAAAGCAGAGGAAAATGGGGGAAAAACACAGGTGTAGCTGCCTCTAAGGCCAAGATGCTGCACGAAGTATCCCTTAAGATAAGACATGGGTTTAAAAGGGAAATACTCAAACATAATAGATACACTAAGATATAGATAAAGGTAATACTCAAACATAATAGTATATCGAGCAGCCACTCCATAGGAAAGGGATACCTATTGTGACCTACATCAGTGGTTCTCAAAGTGTGATCCCTGACCGACATCATCATCACCTGGGAGCTTGTTCGAAATGCAAATTATTTGGTTCCACTTCAGACTTAAGGACATTCTGGAGGCAGAGCCCAGAAATCAGTGTTGTAACAAGCCTTCCCGGTGATTCTGAGGCACACTAAGGTTTGAGACTCACTGGCCTGCATAACTACAAGATGACAAATGATCACATGAAAATTATAATACAACCAAGTGAAACTAGGATAGCTGTTTATTTTTTAATTGCTAAATTTAAAGGGTGAAACTGGATCAACTAGTAAGCAAGCATGTGTATTAATAATATGATTATAAGAAGAGTAAGAAAGCCCTAACCACCACCAAAAACAACATTCTCGCCTATTTATTGATAACTACAATTCCTTTACCATAGCATACGACTTTTTCTTACACAATTATAGATACGGTTTGAAATGTAAATACCAGTAGGCAGGGCAGCACAATGGGTTAAAATTGTATTAAAATTGCAATAAAACTTACAAATAAAATTGCAATATCAACTTATATTGATATAAGTTCATTCTAGTATAGGAAATAAAAGTGCACAAGATCTTTGAATGAAGGCCAAACCTAATTTCTTGAGGCTACCATCAAAGTAAGGAAAACAGGCTGCAAGGAAAAGGCCCAAGAAATTTATATTAATAATACCATAATAGCAATGCTTTCAAACTAGGAATTGAAATTTACCAAAGGTGAGTATCTGAAGTTCAGGTAGAAATTTCTCTCATAAAGATTCTAGATCTGGATATTGGCAAATTCTTAACTCATGGTAAAAGCATGCTTTTCTCACTGCTTAGAAGGAATATAATTCTATCTTGCTCCAAGAAGTTTGTGTGGCTAATGAGGAATTTCTAGCATGAAGTTCTTGCCTAGAAAGCAGCACCCTGGCCTGGATTCTATAAAAGGTCAATCTCATTTTCATCTTTCCCTTATGTCTCAAGTGTTTGTTTTGTTGTGTTGCTTTGTTTCGTTTTGTTTGGGGTGGGATGGAAGTATGAAGGGAAGAAGTTATTCTCCTTTTCTTCCCCCAAGTCCCAAACTTCTCCTTTGATCCATAGATATCTGTTTCTTGGCCTGGTCTGGCCTGACCTCGTCTTGTAACAGAGTAGCCACCCCTCCTCCCATAGATACCAAAGGGGAATATTGATAGTGAGGAATATGTAACAGAGGGAATGGCCTGGAAAAAAAACAGAAAAAATATTTTCTGTCTCTTTAAACTATCCCCCACTCCTTTTTGAGAACTAAAACCTGCACCCCAGCCTCAGGTCTCTGGTTGGGAGGGCCAGAGGAATGTCCTTTGTTCTTTGTGCTACAGGAGATGGCTCAACTGGAACCCTCCAGGCAGAGGTCTGGGTGGAGGTGAGGAGATGGGACAGATCAGAATCATGGACTGTAGTTGAACAGCAATTGCCTGTAGCTGAACGGCCTCCCTTTAACAGCTCTGTATTTCTGCTTATGCACAGGAATTTAGATTTTGAGATACAAGTCCACTGTTTTCCCCCTTTGCAAGCAAAGTAATAAACTTCTCTTTCCTTCTCCTCAAATCACTTATTTTCGTTCTTCTGATGTGGCCTCGAGGACAAGAGCTGAGCTTTCGGTAACAGTCTGGCCTAGTCTACTCCCATTCATTTGACTCTAAATCTTCTTTTAAACAGCTCTAGAAGGATTTGGCTTTCTCTTCATTCTGACCTCTTACTTCTTTGGAAAATTGGCAGAGATTATACTAAATTTAAAGGACAATAATGTCTGGATAAGGTAGAAAATAGAAGATGACAAAGACAGGGATTGAAAAGAAAGAAAAATTAAAGGGTATTTTTGGATATCATTATAAGAACATAACATTCATCATTAGCCAACATGCTTTGCTGAGTAAAGTTTTCCCTAGAAATGCCTTCCATGTGCTTCAAACAGAACTCTAGGAAAATATTCTGAAACCATTTCTAAGGATATGGAAACTTAAATGTAGTATTGTATGTTTCCATTTCAAAATATAGTTTCATGCAGGAAAATAAACTGTGCCTACTAAAGGAAGATGAATAGGAATAATAAATCAATAAATCAAGAAAAAAAGCCAGTAAAGTATATTACATATTTAACTCAAACACTTTAATTATAAATTTTAAATTTTGAAACGTAATATTTGTCAACAGGAAGAAACCATATTTTACTCTTTAATAACACTGGTACTTACCAATTGCTTGAAGTCTATGAAACCATCTGGCAGAGTTTGGAAAAAAATTGGGAAATGTTGGGTTTGGAGCTCCAATTAAATCCAGTAAAACCAATAAATCCTAAGGGAAAAAAAATATTGTTTAATCACTGTCACCAAAGAATGTTTCCTATTCATCAACAGGGAAAAACAATCAGTTAGTAAAAACAATGCAGTTAGTAAAAACTAACTGCATATCAGAAATTGATAATAATATGGGGAGTTGCATAAATGAACAAAAGATTTAATAATATTATATGCTAATCATTTCAGAGAACTTTTAAAATCTCACTTACACAATGTGGACAAATGGCAAAGTGTTGACTCTTTGTGTATGTAACTCCAAAAGAATATCATTAAGAATAAATTATAAAAAGGATATCTGGATAAATATTTCATATATTTAAAAAGAAAACATTTTGGCCAGGCATGGTGGCTCACGCCTGTAATCCTAGCACTCTGGGAGGCAGAGGTGGGTGGATTGCTCAAGGTCAGGAGTTCAAAACCAGCCTGAGCAAGAGCAAGACCCCATCTCTACTATAAATAGAAAGAAATTAGCTGGACAATTAGAAATATATAGAAAAAATTAGCTGGACATGGTGGCACATGCCTGTAGTCCCAGCTATTCAGGAGGCTGAGGCAGAAGGATTGCTTGAGCCCGGGAGTTTGAGGTTACTGTGACCTAAGCTAACAACACAGCAATCTAGCCTGGGCAACAGAGCAAGACTCTGTCTCAAAAAAAAAAAAAAAAGAATACATTTATTTTATTTTCAGATGGGAGTCCACACCTATCTGATCTTCTATTCTATTCCAATTAGCCATTTTTTCCTTAATCTGTAATGATACAACTCCCGAAAGAGAGAACTCAGATAGTAACTAGTTATTGATCAAGCAGCATCTATAAAATTCCTTGTATAGGAGTTATATGGTATTGTATCTATGGATCTCCATTTTCTTATACATCAAATGAGGAGCTCAAACCAGCTTCTCTAAAAGGTTTCTTCAGGTTATAACCCTCTATATAATTAAACCAGTGTTGTTTAACTTGTTTGAGCTATAAAACAGCAGGCGCGAGGACTTCCTGAAGACTACCCCCCAGATTAAGACTCCCTGATTTATATAAGTGAAATAATGTGGGGGTAAATATCTAGCATAGATCCTGACACATAGTAGATAAACATTTCAGAGTCCATGATTCTAAAGATATAGTATGTATAAATTTATGAATGATAAATATATTCATTTTAAGAAAATTAGGCTTGTTTGAAATAGGAACATATGCATGAGGTTGGATAGGCTGCTAAGAGTTTGTTTCTGGGGGAGAAAATGGTCTTAAACCATCACTATGGATTCATATATTTGGACTGATAAATAAATAACTTTGTTCAGCAGCCAGGTTCTCTGAACCTTTTTAGCCACTTGGGCATACATGAGGGACAGAGTGCCAGCAGGTGTGTTAGAATCATAAAAGACACTGAACAAGGCTGCATGGATTTACAGGGTGAAGGTCATTGATAGGCAAAGAGCAGGAAAGAGTGGAGGGGTTGGGAATAAGCAGTCAGTTCACAGATGGGGGGTCAGGGATGGATGGAGGCACTGGAAAGAATGAAGTCTCAAGAGTAGCATGAGGTTCCAAGCTGGGGTTAATGAAGACTCAGGTTTGAGAAAAGATCAAACATGGGAAGAGAGTCAGAGTAGGAAGAAGACTCAGGGGTGGATACGGAATGTGGGTCCAGGAATGGGGAAGAATGAAGTTTCAAGGGTAGCATGAGGTTCCAAGCTGGGGTTAATGAGGACCCAGGAACTGAGTAAAGATCAAATACGGGAAGAAAATCAGAGCTGAAAGAGGACTCAGGGGTAGGTATGGAGTGTGAGTCCAGGAATGGGGAAGAAAATAAGGCTGTGTGTTATACCCATTACTTAGTACTAATAGGGTTTTAAGGAAGCATCAAAATTCCCCACCCCGTGTCAAAAATGCCACATCAAAACCAACACATCAAAATGTCATACACACTCTGGGGTTACTACAATGCTGTGAAGCCACCAAGGAAATTCTTCACTCCCACCCCCTCTTATTGCACTTCCCAGGACCTCATGCTCCTCAGGCTTTAAAAACTAGCCTCCGAGAAGGGGTTTGCTCTCCCTACCTCTATCCAGTACTGGAGGAATGTGCTCCCACTGGACCCAAATGCTTCTGATGCTTCCTTAATCTGATTTTTTACATCAGTTTAATTAAGCTCAGTCAAACATGGCTTCTAACCCAGAATCATTCTTTTTTAGCTCTGGGATTCCTCAAAAACTCAATGCCTGCCAAGGAATGCTCTATTATAAACACTCTGCTCCAAGGATGTCATGGCATTTTTAGGTCTTTGTTGGCTCTAGCAACCTCTTCCCTGGAGGCAGAGCCTGCAGCTACAGCAGGCTCTGGAAATCACACAGACGAACCATGCCATGCAGTTGGTTGGTGTCTCTTGCTCCCGGCGGGTGTGCGGTCGATGCCATCTTTGCAGCTAAGTGTCGAGACCCATAAAGAGAATCTTGAGGAGACCAGTGAAGAAAAGCCTCTTCCCCATCAAAGAAAATCAGCTGGAGTGAAAGATCTGGCTTGGTGTCTGAAACATTCTGGTAAAAAGAACAATAAAAAGATAGCACAAATGCTGTGATGATCAAAAAATAACATGTTTTCCTATTAACTGGGCCAAAAGATAGATGTGCCATTTAGAAAGGAAGATACCCAAGCAAGTGAAACTGTGCCAAAGTTTATTTCACACCACTTCCTCGCCAAAAATCATCACACCTCCCACTATCTTTACCCATATATATCACCTTCTCCCACTTCCTCTGAAAATAGGAGTCTTAAGCCGGGCGCGGTGGCTCACACCTGTAATCCTAGCACTCTGGGAGGCCGAGGTGGGAGGATCGCTCAAGGTCAGGAGTTCGAAATCAGCCTGAGCAAGAGTGAGACCCTGTCTCTACTAAATAGAAAGAAATTAATTGGCCTACTAAAAATATATAGAAAAAATTATCCGGGCATGGTGGCACATTCCTGTAGTCCCAGCTACTTGGGAGGCTAAGGCAGTAGGATTGCTTGAGCCCAGGAGATTGAGGTTGCTGTGAGCTAGGCTGATGCCACGGCACTCACTCTAGCCTGGGCAACAGAGTGACACTCTGTCTCAAAAAAAAAAAAAAAGAAAAACAAAAGAAAATAGGAGTCTTACAATTTCTTCTTACTCATGGGAGAACTTTGAAACTACAAAATTGCTGTGATGGGATGAACGAGGTGACATGTCACCCAGCTCCTTTGCAGGAGGGTGTGTTGTCCTAGCTGCTGGCAAAGCAGTTAGGCACTTTAGGAACTGCCTTGGCTGCTTCCCCTGGGAGCACCCCATATCCATGGCTGACTACATAGGTCCTGGGGACTCTCTAAAGGGCCACTGTACCTCCAGAGTTCCCCAGGGGTTGGCTGAGCCTGTTGTTGGCCCTATATTATAGCCCAACTTCTCCCTCTGCCCAATCCCATTTCTTCCCCTCCCTGCCACCAGTGTTGATCCAAGGCCACTCCCTAATAAATGACCTGAATGCTAAACTCCACATCTGAGTGCACTTCCTAGGGAATCCACCCTGAAACAACTGTGCCTCTTTCTTGCTTCTCACCTTATTTAAGCCTTCAATTCAGTCTTAAATCTGCCCTAGGAGCTTCAGAGACACACAGAATAATAATTATAGCCTTTTCCTTGAAAGAGCCTACATACACTTCAGTTGGGTTAGGGAGCGATAATAACAAATACATGAGCATGGCAAAATATGCCAAGGGCCACAAATGTCACATAAAAGTCCTCTGGAAATTGGATGGAATGAGAAGTGGAATTCTTGAGGTGTCAAGAAAGGTGTTATGAAAGAGAGAGTATTTGAGCAGAGCTAAGAAGGGTGAGTACGATTCCGATTGATTTTCCACTAACAACAAATCTTACCTTTCACATTAGTCCTGGGACTCTAAGCCCCATAATCCTCCAGTCCCACCAGAAACCCTAATCTATTGCATCTTTCACCTTTTCACAGTCCTTCACCCTCATAATGTCCTCACTTCACTCCATGTTTAGCCGAAATTCCAGTCAATCATTCTAATCACTCCCTTGCATACACCCTCAACTCCCTTGCCTCTCTCTGCCTTGGTCAAACAAAAGGTCATTTTGTCTGTCATGACAAAAACATAACTTAAGTCCATCTTTCTGCCTACTTTGTGCCTCCACTCATGCAGCTAAATCTAACTAGAGAAAAATATTTATATATTTTTCTGGTCTTGCTTAAAATGACCACATGACCACAAACCTTGAATTGGCCTTTCATGTTTGCTGGCAAGTATTTTCTTAGTTCATTCACTCTTGCATCTTCTGGTATTTCATATTCCTCCTCTCTCTAGCACCTCACCCATCCTCACTCCCAATGTCTGCCCTTTATTTCTTCTTGCCATGGTCATATTAGATGCCAGTCTCTCCACTTGTGCACAAAATCCTATTCCCTCTTATTTGCTCAAGGACACCATTCTGGCCAATACCATTTCCCTCCTACATCATCAATTTTTCTCTCTGCTGAATTTATTCCCATGAGCCTACAAACATGCCCTCGCTTCTCTCACCTTAAAATGTTTGACCCTACTATATCCACCAGCTACCGCCCTATTCACCTTTTCACAGTCCTCCACCCTCATAATGTCCTCACTTCACTCCATGTTTAGCTTAAATTCCAGTCAACCATTCTAATCACTCCCTTGCATACACCCTCAACTCCCTCACCTCTCTCTGCCTTGGTCAAACAAAAGGTCATTTTGTCTGTCATGACAAAAACATAACTTAAGTCCATCTTATTTATTTATTTATTTTGTCCCATCTACAGCAAAACTCCTTGAGGGAATTGCTTACTCACATTGTCTCCAATTCTCCTTCTTAACCCTGCCCCAGTCGGGCTTTATCTTCACCTTCTACTGCAACTGCTCTTGTTAAGGGCACCAGTGACCTCTACATTGCTACTCCCAATGGTCAACTCTCAGTCTTCATCTTTCTTGACTTGTGGGCAGCATTTGACATAGTGGATCACTCCCTCCTGGATACAGTTTCTTCATTTGGCTTCCAGGACACAGTATTCCCTCTACCCCAGTCAGCACTGATGGTTCCCTTCATCACCCTTTCCTCTTAGTGCTGGAGAGCCCCAGGACTTGCTCCCTGGGTCTCTTCTCTATCCACAGTCACTCCTTTGATATCTATTCTTGAGGCTTTAAGTTATGTGCATATATATACATACACTATATAAATGATGCATACATGTACATACATCCACAGATATATATATCTCAACAAAAATTCAAAAAAAAATTATTTCCAGCCCTGACCTCACTCCTGATTTCCAGACCCGGTATATTTGATTGCCAAATGAACATCTCTGCACAGATGTTTATAGACATCTCAAACATAAAGTGTCAAAACTCAACTCCTGATATTCCTCCTGAAACAACCTGTACTAACAAGAGCCCCCTTAAGCTAAATTGATGACAACACTACCCTGCAGTTACTCAGACAAAAAACCTGGGGTTCTCTCTCTCTCTCCCTCTCTCTCTCCCTCTCCATACACACACACACACACCCCTCAATCCAGTTCATCCTGCTTCTGCAAACCTATTTCTCACCACATGCCTCTTTTTAATTTGCTTTGTTTTCTTTGAGCCTAATTTATCTCTGTGGTCAAACTCTCCAGATACTATAGCACTTTTGTCTCTCATGAGTCTGTCTGGTTTTGTTTTGATGGACGTACTCCTCCTGGAGCCCTCTCCTGACACCTCCAGCCTGGGCTGGCTCGTAGGCCTGCTGCCCACCTGTTCTCTTAGGTCTCCCTTCACACAATCACCCTAGCGACTCCCTCTGCCTCTCTCTTCAGCAGAGACATTCTAAGCTAAAGGCCCTAAGTTTAAAGGGCCTTGACCAGTTCCAAAGTTCTGGCTCCAAATCAGACAGCACAATCACAGAACACGAAGGCAGAATGAGGCTGCTTGGGACCATTCTGCTCAAGCCCGTGGCAGAGGCAAAAGGAGGTATTAATGGTTTTCATCTCCTGCAGGCTTGCTGGTTTGGGTGCCACATTGAAATTTCAACAGCCAGGTGACTCCAGTGATCAATGCAATGATTTCCCTTCATTCTGTTTTCTTAGCATCAGTTTACTTAGCAGTACACTCTTGTGGGTGCTGATCCTGAGTCCCATGGGGTAAGCTGCTGTTTGTGCTTCATTTCGTGGTTAGCAGGAAAATAGCCATGGCCTTCAGTTTCTAGTAACTCAGCGTAGTACCTGAGTGGCCTGATCTGTGAAGGTCTTCATGGTAATACCATAAATGCCTGGTTACCAGTGTTCACATAGTCACTAAATCACCTGCAGCCTTTCCCCATCCAGTGCTGTATCAGTTAGTCAATGACACAACAATATCATGTAACAAATCACCCCAAACTCCACGGCTTACAACAACAATTATGTATCCTCCCAGGACATACAACCTGTGTGGGTCAGCTGGGGAAGGACTGATCCGGCCTGGGTATGGCTGGAGTGGCTCTGCCTCACCCTGCGGTCAGCCAGGCAGGCTCTGTTCCACGTGTCTGTCATCCCCCTGCTGGTACTGGCGGCCAGCTAGGGCATGTTCTTCTCCTGCCAATTGCAAAGACACAGGACAGCACACCTCTGCTTGTGTCACGTCTACTAACATCCCATCGGCCAAGGCAAGTCAAATCACCATATCCAAAGTGAAGGAGTGAGGAATCAAAACTGGCTACGGCGGGAAAGCACAGCAAAGTTACAAGGCAAGGATGTGGATGTGTTATGATAATGCTATTACAGGAGGGAAGACATACTGCAAAGAATTGGAAATAATTCAGTCTACTCTCTAGCCGCCTTCCAGGTCACTTCCCACCACCACCTACCCATGACAACTGAAGAACTGAAAATAATTCCTTAATACAAATTTAGTTAAAGTATAACTAGAAGAATAAATCTGATACTCTCAAAGTTTGCATTCAAAAACAGCCCTTTTCTAAAATTTTCCACCTCATTCTTTACCTCTAATAGAAAAGATAATTAAGAGAATGTGTGTGTTGACTCAAAATTTCTTAATGGTGACTCCCAGCCAACAACTCATTCAGTCCTTTCTGTTTCTGGCCACCAACAGCAGGTCTAAGCTACGTGGGAAAAGCTAGAGGAGCTCACCAAGAGAAAACACACCCACAGCACTGAATAGCACCTTCAAATCATACTTCATTTCATTTCACGTCCTTCTACTGGGAACGCAAATATGAAAAATTAAACTTTTATATCAGCTTTCAAATTCCCTCACCCAACTGAAGGGCCCTGGGTAAAAGCAGGGCAGAGCACGGGACAAAGGCATCACAGAAGGTTCAAAAAACAAAACAAAATCAAAAAAACAGTGAAAGGAGACTGAGAGGGTATAAACAATTCCTGCTTTCTTCAAGCACATCCAGCAAAAACAGAACCAAATATCTCTATTACTTCCATTACAAGATAAACCTTTTACTTCTTTACCGCCATTATACCAAAGGCTGGACCCTTCATAAGGCTCTGAGGGGAAAAAAGGCATGTGTTTCCTGCGAACAAAGTTTTTTGTTTTTGCTTTGTTGTGTTTACTTGGTTATGACTGATATCAGAACGAAAAGTCTTCATCTAGTTTAGCACTTTTTTCCAATATACCCTGAAGAACACAGAGACTGAAATAACATCTGAGAGTCCCAGAAGTATTTTGAGCCGAGGGCATAACAAAAGCTCTGCTATGCTACATAAAATGGAGCCGAGATTCACAGATAATAACAATAATGCATTTCTGCTTCATGTTTTTCATCTCCGTAGGTCTGAATTACCCACTCTCTGAAGTAGCAGAGCACTGCAACTCCCTCCGCCCTACTCAAGAGCTACTATCTCTCAGATCAGGTTGTGATGTTTCATGGGCCTATAAACAAGAAGAAATATACATGGTTCTCATACTTATGCCTGAACCAACCTTCCTCCTTCATTTTTGGCAAAGAAATGCTTAATTTAATGTGTCTTCAAGGCTGGGAAATCAAGTGCCTATTAGTGAATGCACTGCCACGTATCTTAGGTTTATTGCCCCTGGTTGACATTTCAAATCATGTCATCTTCCAATTAATATCCATTCAACCTCATATCACTTTGTAACAAATCAGAATAAAAATATACCAAAAGTTTTCATGTCTAAATGGCCTCCCCAATCCCCCAAGGATTCTAGAATTCACTCTGAGTTACTGCTAATGTATTTTATCCTAGGAACCAATAAGCAGAAAACAAATACCTTCAAGGAAAGGAGTTTCTTGTCTAAGGCACGGGCAAGTTCCAACATCATTGCGCATGGCACGGCTGAATCTGTGGCTCCCACAAACACTCTGTTGTCCCAATGGGCAAAATACTTGGAGTCATAATGGCAGGCGAGGACCAAGTGCCTTTTCGCAGTGGGATTGAGGGTGCTGATGATATTCGAGAAAGACCGGTACCCGTAGGGCGTCTGACTCAAGAAGGTGTCCACTTCCAAGACCCAGTCGGCCTTGAGCCTCTGAATTCGCCGCATGATGTGCTGATCAAAACAAAAACCAAAATTTCAGATCTAAACAAGCAGTTTTCATTTATGAACTATGGTTTCAAAATTTTATATGATGCTTTTTAAGTTAAAATTGCAATACATGCTTATTGTAGTAATAGCAATAATGTTGCTATTAATTGCTATTGTAATTAATAGCATTTTTCCTGTTTATAGGAAATGCTAATCCTCTTCCTCTCCCCAACTTTTCCCTTACTAATAAATCCCTTGTTAATATTAACCAATGGTAACAGTTCTATGTAGATCTTTCCACATAGCTTCTCCTTGCTTGCATAAAAATATACTAGCATACAAACATATATATTTGACAGAGGGGTATATGTTTTTATAGAAAAAGAATCCTACTTTACACATTATTCTGCCCCTTGCTTTTCTCACTTACCAATATTATAATATTATGGACATGTCCATAATTTAGGAGATAGAAACCCAGTTCGGTAATACTAATGTCCACTTTTAATGTTTCTAGGAGGCTTTGAAGACATGTTTGAGAAATCACATACATCAGGGTCATACACCAGGGTTTCCACCTCTACCCTAAGCTCTTCGAGGGCAAGAACTGCAAATGGTAGTTCTTTTTGTACCAAGTGCATAGCGTGTACCCAAGTCCACCAAATGCTTCATATGTAATGATCACTCACAAAAGATAATAATGCCCACCTGCTAAGGATAATGTGTTATAGACAACTCCCATAACAAGGGATGGTTGGAGGATATTTGAGATCTCTGCTCCCTATAAGAATCAATAAGCAACTCCGAACCACAATGATATAACAAGCAGCTTTCCCTCTGCACCCAAGGCAGGTCCAGACCCACTGAAAATGCTGGTAAAAAAAAAAAAAACAATCTCTTTCCCCACCTTTCCTGGTCACCTTAGGCCTTATAGGCAATGCAATGGCTGATGGAAGAAAACAAGTAAAAAAAAATAGCACCATTGCAGGTCTGAAAGTATCTTCTTTATGAACCCAGAATTTGTGGATTGGTTCACTGTGGGTTCATTTGCCTTTTCCCAACCTTATTTTCCCTTGGCCTCATTTTTCTTTCTCACTGTGTTCTGTTTTTTCCAAATATTGTATACATCTTTGTAAGTTCCCTTAAATGATTTTCTAAAAAGTCAAATGGCAAGCTATCAAAATAACTAACAATTTGTCCCACGATTAACATCCAGTAGGGATGGACCTTCAGATGATAAATGAACAATAACAGGAAACTAATAGGAGCTTTTTCCCCCAAGGAAATACAGTATTTTCTATCCTAGCCAAGTCTCCTGTGGCCTGCCACTCACTAATGTGACATGACACGCAGGCAAGGGCTTTGGAAAAACTGCAGCAGGAAGCTTCCGAGGAGAAGGGGACTTAACAAGGGGGAGGACACTGATTCTACAGTGTCAATTCTGCAAAAGCCAAATAAACAAATGATTCCCCAGCTGTTCACTCCTTGCTTTTTTGTAGCAGATGGACTTTGTCCTAAATAGTATTATACATGCAGTACCTTACCTTTTCTAGTACAAGTTTTCATGTTGTCTTTTCACATTATCAAAAGCAATGTTTATAACCTTTTTTAAATTCAAGCTCACTAATTTTGTTATTTTCCACAATTCTTAGTATTGTGCTTTGCTCACGGTGGTCACAGTAGATTATCAGTAAATATGGCTTCATTGTAACAGGAAATATAAGTTGATTCAATGAGAATATGTAAAATTATATGATACAAAACCTTAATAGTTTGAATGGAGAGAAATCACTGTTCATCTAAGATAAGTTTTTCCACATATTAAGAAAATTAGTTATTCCTAGAGTTTGGGGAAAAAAATTCCTTAAAAGGGGTCATCTCAAAAAAAAACAACAAAAAGCATATGCTCCGCACATCTGGTATCCAGATGATGAACTGCTCCATAAAATGGCTTCTTGAACACAGATAGCAGCCTGCAACTTTACAAAGTTGGGATTTTAAAAAATATATCTGTTGGCATTGCTCAGAGAAATCTCACACACAAACTCATTTCTCCACTAGTAACCACGTCTCAGGTATAATTCCTGATGTCTAAGTTGACACTAAAATCCACACAAGAATCAGCAAATGCCCCCAAGAGTTTTCCCTGAAGTAATCTTTTTTATTCAGTATAAATATCTTTTGTTTATCTTAGCAACAAAATAAATCATCTTTCTAAACAATCAAATTGGCTGCATAATCTAATTAGGTCACCAATATCCCTTGTTGTGCTTTTGGCTTTCAGATTTAGTCTGCAAGTTCCCACGACAAGTTTCTGGAGGAGGCTCTCCAAACTGCCTGCTTTCTCCCTAGAATGCTCCTGAGCAGGGAGCGCTTGGCTGGGACAGGGTCTAAAGCAGCTGTGCTTCCCCAACTCCAAAGCAGAGAAAGGCTGGGCCCTCCAGGCATGCTACATCTGGGTTTTAAAATGAGGGCAGAGAGAGAGAATTGGGAGGGAGGGAGGGAGACTGAGACAAAGATGAAGACAGATGGAGATTGAGCAGAAAGAGAAAGAAGAAAATGCAAAGATAGAGATGGAGATGGGGGGAGGGGTAGAAAGACTACTATATGACATTCTACTTCCCAAGAGGGTGGCAGGGGAGATTTAGTCTAGGTTAATATTAATGAATGACCCTGGGTCTGATTAAATTAAACTCAAATTCTAATTTCCAGGTTCTGAGAAAGAATTACATCAGTAGACATCAATAGACTAGGTTTGTTTGGAGGAAACAGATTCGCTAGTATTTGCACTAAGTTTGCAAACACATCATCGTCAGAGGACTGCCACTGAGGACTTCAGGTGTCTCTTCCTTGGGTGTACCACACACATGCAAGTCCCGCAGGCCAGCTTCCTGTGTGGAGGTCGCACCCTGGGATGTACATGCCTTTCCCTGAAGAAGTTCCGTTTCAGCTGCCCAGATGCACTGTGTATCTGTAGGGTATTTTAACACCTGAAGTTTCTAATTCACCTCTTTTATTTATTCATTTATTTATTTATTTACTTACTTATTCATTTATTTTTGACACAGGGTCTCATGCTGTCACCCAGGCTGGAGTGCAGTGGCCCAGTCATAGCTCATTGCAGCCTCTAACTCCTGGACTCAAGCAATCCTCCTGCCTCAGCCTCCCCAGAAGCTGGGACTACAGGCTCATGCCACCATTCCCTGCTAATTTTTCATATTTTCTATAGAGACGGGGTCTCACTATGTTGCCCAGGCTGGTCTTAAACTCCTGACCTCAAATAATCCTCCCACCTCAGCCTTCCAAAGTGCTGGGATTACAGGTATGAGCCACTGCACCTGGCCTGGTTTTCCTCTTTTAAACAAAGGACATTGCTTGCCTCTTCGTGAGACTTTATCATCCTAATTTATAAATTTATTTTTTATTCCTGTCTTTGATAGAAATCAATGAAATACTCTGAAATGTAATGCCTTCAAATTATTTATTTTACAAATAAATTATCTCCTCAAAATAAAAATATTCTAATAATCCAATAGACAACTTTGGGCTCATTGATCAGAGACCATAAAAATATAGAATGTGGGATATGAGTCCCCTAAAATATTATCTTTCTCTAGGAGAATCCATAGCAATGCATATCTTTACTGATAACTGCAAAAGTTAATTCACTAACCAATTTTATATCAAGTTCACACTTCTTTTTTATATTTGAAGGTCTTCTCTAATTATAACCCTGAAACTCTATAAATTTATAAAACATCTGATCTAATGCTCAAAAGGCCTCACGAGGAAAAAAAATTCTATCATTCTTGTTTAAATTTAGTTCTGAATAAAAATATATAATCCTGGTCAAATTAAGGCCATTAGTGTAGTTCCCCATAATACCTCTGTCACCTACCTCATTTTCCAAATGAGAACTCCTTTGTCTTCCACAGGTTAGGGGACAGGTCTCTATAAATTAAATTCTCAAAAAATTACGAAACCAAATCTCATTAGTGAGATGTCTAGCACAACTGTCAGCCAGACCACCCATAGGCAGCCCAGCAATAGTTCCCCATACATTCTAAAACATTGTCAATAAATTTCTCATTTGCTTCCACTCCCTGGTGACACTGGAAAATGGTATTGTGGCTTCAGTAACTCTTTTAAATGAATATGTATCTTTAAAATCACAACAGTATCTGTATATCATTTATGCTATATACCGCATTCTGTTGAAGCTACAGATCTAACAGCAATGTCTGTTGTGTTTATGAATTTCTAGAGCCCACAGGTGAGGGACCTCAGGCCTGACTGAAACTGCATATAGTTTCCAAGTATGTGCCTGTTTTCCTGGTATATATGGTCTTCTGAGCAAATGGTAGGAAGGTATTAAAAAGGAGTTGAGCGAGCATTGTAGACCTAGATTTTTTCCTACTGAGAAACTGAGGATTTTGGAAAGTGCCAATAAGTGCTCTGCCCTTCTTTTAAGAAAGTGTCTGGGAGATGAGGCCCAAAGAACATAGTTGAAATGAATGGTATGTACCTCTCTCTCCAACTTCGCATGAGAAGATGCAGAGCTAGAGACGTTTGAGCGCCCGTCCCACAGAGCTGGTTCCTCTCAGCTCTCCAGAGATAGGATGGAGAAGTCGAGCAGGTTCTGGCCTCTTAGAACGTGTAGAACCTTTGGCAAGTGAATTCATATTCCCGAACCTCAGGTCTTTTTCGATCCATAACATTGGAACAACAATAGACTCCACACGGGAGCACCGTTGTGAAGAGTGAATGAGATGATCCATGCAAAGAGCTCAGTAAAGCACCTGACCTGGAAAAAGTGCTCAGTGGAAGTCAGCTAGCATCACTATTATTCCTCACTCTACATAAACGTTAGAAAGAACTAAAGTGCTCTTAGGGTCTCCACCATCTAATTCCTCAGGAGGAGCAGGAGCTGTTCAGATGAAAGACAAGAGGCTAGCGGGGAGGAAAAGACACATAGTGGGTAGAAAGGAAAGGCTCCAGGGCTGGGCCTTGCAAGTCTCACTCTGGGCACAGCAATGGGTGCCACTGTCTTTTGCCTGAAGAGTTAGGCAGGTGGAGCAGTCTCCAAGGAGGGACATGAGGAGCCAATCCCAGCTCCTTCCCAAGCTGTCCCTTGAAATGGGACTAGTTTGGAAAAACAGATATTCGGAGGTGGGGTTTCATATTGCTTAGGGAGACTGACAGTAAGGAAACAAAGAGATACTCAATGTCTAGTCCCACTTCTGGCTTATTCTACCCTCTACAGCAGAGTCTTCTAAACATCCGTAGTAAAACCAGGGGGTCTTGAAATCAGTCTACAGGTCATGACCTGCATTTTTTTTTAACTAGTAAAATAGAATTAACAACATCAGAGTGAAATGCAGGTAATAAAAGTATTTTCCATAGAACTTCTGTTTCAGTTAAATATATCGGTATGTTTGTGTGTATAAAATGTAAAATATATTTTTACTGTGGATCAGAGTCATAAGTTTGAGAAACACCATCCTGGAGAAAGTAGCCTTAACCCTGGCCTTAACCCTCCCTCCAGGGAGAACACAATTTCCCTAAGGGGAATGAGGGCCTGACAGTACCATGACACTCCTGGCCCAGAACCTGCAAGCAAGGACTGTCTAGGGCTGTTGATGCTGGTTGTTTAAGATTCAAAAAAACTTGGTTGGGAACATGGGGGTGTGTCATTGAAATGGCCAAGAGTTAAGGACTTAGTACTATATTGTACCCCAGACAGAGATTTCACACATAAACTCATTTAGATTAACATATATCACTTAATTCAGAACAGACATCTACTCTCAGTTGTGATTTTCTTGGTTGCTTATTTGGTGAGTAATGAGATGACAGATCTGAATATTAGACAACTTAGACCTTCAGCCATAACGTTATCTCTCGTGTGAGAACAAAGTATTCAACAACCTGAGGTTTGTGTGCCGTGTCCTCACCTGCCGGGCAGCGTAGCTTCCAGGAGACCCGGGGTATCGCTCTCTCAGCAGGGGCCGTAAGTCATCTCGCCACATGTCAGAAATACTGGTGCCTTCCGCAATTTGCCGAAGAGACGATGAATTCAACGTGGCTGGTTGGTGATGATTCTGAGGATTAAATACAATTGTTTCACTGGCCATCGTTTCATAATATGTTAAGATCCTCACACATTTGCAATTAATTCCTCTAGCCCTCAAAAGAAAGGATAACTTTTATGTCAAACAAGTTAAATTAAAACATTCAACTTTAAAATTGGCCCCTTAACATCCACCGCCCCCAGCCAAGGTATGTTATTAAAATTAGTTTTACCTATTGCTCTTTTAATGTAGCTACTAGAAAATTTAAAATTACATCTGTACATTTTGTTATCTATTTCTATTGGACAGCGCTGACTCAGATGAATGTTGCAATTCCTGTCAGCCTAAGCTTGATGATTCAATAACCCACTAAATAGTAAAATTTTTATCTTCAGTTAAAATTATTGTATTTATTTACCTATTAGAGACAGGGTCTCACTCTATTACCCTTCCAAGTCACTGGGATTACAGGCATGAGCCACCTCACCAGACTCTAAAATTATTTTAATATTCTATTAATGCTCATACTCTTATGTATACTTACATATTAGTTAAGTGAAACTGAAGAGGCTAAATAATAGCTGGAGTGATGGCTCATGCCAGTAATTACAGCACTTTGGGAGGCTGAGCATAGCTTGAGACCAAGAGCTCAAGACCTGCCTAGGCAGCATAGCAAGGCCCAATTTGTACAAAAAATTTAAAAAATTAGCCTGGGATGGTGATGCACACCTGTAGTCCCCACTACTCAGGATGCTAAGATAGGAGGATCAGTTGAACCCAGGATTTGGAGGCTGCACGTCAGCCTGGGCAACAGACCAAGACCCTATCTCTAAAAAAAATTAAATTAAATAAAAATAAAAAGTTAGGCCTGGCGCGGTGGCTCACACCTGTAGTCCTAGCTCTCTGGGAGGCCGAGGCGGGCGGATTGCTCGAGTTCAGGAGTTCGAAACCAGCCTGAGCAAGAGCGAGACCCCGCCTCTACTATAAATAGAAAGAAATTAATTGGCCAACTAATATATATAGAAAAAATTAGCCAGGCATGGTGGCGCATGCCTGTAGTCCCAGCTACTCAGGAGGCTGAGGCAGGAGGATTGCTTGAGCCCAGGAGTTTGAGGTTGCTGTGAGCTAGGCTGATGCCATGGCACTCACTCTAGCCTGTGGAACAAAGTGAGACTCTGTCTCAAAAAAAATAATAATAAAAATAAAAAAATAAAGTTAAATAAACATAACATTTAAACTCGTATTTTGGGTATGACTTTATAAGTTCTGTATTTTCATATGAGACTAGTAATGACGAATCATTCATTCATTCATTGCGTGGTTTTCAGGCACTTATTAACAGAATGTGTTACTTCTCAAAGGAAAGAGTGTGACTGACCTGGTGAATGACGAAGGTAACATAAGGATATTGAATTATTTGGAATGCAAAACAGAAACTAAGGGAGGCTTGTCTGTTTTACAGTTCCGACTAGGACCAGTGTTAGTTGAATATGTTTAAGTAATCATGCGAGTATTTTCACTCCATGTGAACCACTTCATGCAGCTATTGAGAGACTGGAATTAGAGAATGTTTAGTGCCTAATTACTTATACTCACCTGCACTTTGAGATGGTTCAGCATTACTCTCCAGTATTTATCATGCAAAGAGCATGAGCTGTGGGATCAGACAGACCCTCTCAACTCCGAACCGCACCACTTACTAGCTGTGACTCTGGCCAGGTTACTCACCCTCATTAAGGCTCAATCTCATCTGTAAAATGGAGGTAATAACACCTACATCCTAGGGTAAGTGAAATTAAGTGAGCATATATATATGCAAACTGCCATAGTAAATATAGAATGTGTTAGTTCTGCTATTCCCTTCTGTCACACACTAAAGAGATATAGAATGCATTGTAGAGCTGGAAAAGCCCCTTAGAGATGATCTAGCCCAACCTCCTTGATCGGTATCAGTGGAAACTGAGGTTCATAGAAACCAGCCAATGTCCCAAGGTGGCGGGAGAGTTACTAGTAAATCCATGAAAAGATCCCTGGTCTGCAGCTTCCCAGTCCCGTGCTAGTCCTAGTCTGCCTCATGCCTCATCTTTGCACTTCCACTTTACTCCTAAATGCGGATGCTGTGCCTGAACATCAGAAGGTTCGTGTTTGTTCACTGGTGATGCATTTTAAAATATATTTCCTTAAATAAATTTGTCACTGCAGGCTTTAAATTTCTTGATACCTCCAGGATCTAAGTCCTCATGTTAGCTCTCAAATAACCCTTTTAGAAGAAAGCTGAAGCTCAAAGACAAAACAATAGAAATGTACAGACAGAAAAAGAGGAAAACAGAGGCGAGAGGTCAGAAGACTTCCATGGTTAATTATTACTCAATCCAGCCAACAGCAGCCTGTCTGATCTCTTCCCCTTGTCCCTTCTCAGCACGCTTGTCACTCTGGCACTCGTCCAGGCACTAAAGTGCTCTGAGGCTCTGCTCCCTTGGGACCTTGGCATCTACAGTGCCTTCTGCCTTTCAGGTTGTTTCCCCTCCTCTTCACCTGGCTAATTCCTGTCACTTCAGGTCACAGCTTGGAGGCCACTTCTTAGTGTGTTTACTTGCTTAATGTCTGGATTTCAAACAGGCCATCAGCTCCACGAGGGCTGAAACTCTCTCTCCTGTTTACCACTCTTCCCTACACGGGATACACGGGGCCTGGTTCATACTGAGCGTTCAATAAATACTGGGCAAATTCATCAAATAAGCAATCAATAGATGAACTATGTTTCTAAAACTATCTTTGCTAAGACTGTGTTTACATAATAATAAAATTAAATGGGCTTTTTTGCTGTTACAAATACCAAATCAGTTGAATGCACAAACAGGTGCATTCAAAGACAGAAGAGACAGGTGTCCACCTGCTGCGATGGCCAGCAAATACTGTGGTTCAATGTCAATGGGCTTTGTTCTTTTTGAACTTCAGAGGTCAATGCTTCTGAGCAGGGTTAGCCCAGGTGGTCACTGTGACAATCAAGACGTGTTACGTCAAAGGCTGTTTGAGCAGTGGCTTCTTATCTATTTATTATCCATTCCCCTACCCCAGAGCCTACATAATCCTTCGCTCCATGTCCACAGTAAAAAGAAATCAAGCTCATGTTTAAATAGGTAATTTATAGAGGCTTGAAAAAGCTCTTAAGATATTTTTAAAAAACCAGGAACAAAATAAATGCCGCCTGCCTCAGGATCTCTAATTGTAAGAGATACTGTGGATGAAACCTAGTTGGCAACCAGCACTACCAAATGCTTAATCGATGAATAAAGGGTAAATTCAGCAGATAGGCTCACTGATGCTCATGAATTTAGAGACTTATAGGTGTTTGTTCCCCAATCTCCTAGGTTCAACCATTTAATTAACATACTTCAGTAAAGAGCCCTGTCTCACCTTGCCTCTCTGGAGGCAAAGATGTCCCTGTGAAATCACAGAGATAAAAGCTTTCCAGTCAGTGAAAGATAGAGAAAAGGAAACCACCACACTCAGTTGATTACTTAAACCCTTCTATTCATTAAAGCCCTATATGGAAAACCATCTGACTTTCGCAACCTAAGTAGCATGTATTCAATTTTTAAGGAGTGTTACTCTCAGAACTCAATAAATATAAAAACCTATGTGGAGATGAGAAGAACAAGTAAGAGAGGAAACCTGGAAAGAAAGTGTGGGCTCAGCAAGAGGAAAGTCACTGAGGCAAAAACAGCGTTGAGCCCAATGCTAAGTGCAAACCCAACTTATTGGAGATTTATTTCAGTTGAAAGGCACTTAGAGCACTTTCTATTGGTGCAGGCGTTCTCAGAGGAATGAGGCTCTGTTACAGCCCCTGCCTTGTCTTTTCATCCAGGCAGAAAGGACAATAAGTCTGCTCTGGTGACAAGAATCTTTCAGCTAAAATAGTGTGAACCAGATATCCTGAAGAATCTCCTCTATGCTAATCACATGGTGCCAGGCCAAAGAGGGTTCTAATTTCATAATTTGTAGAACTGGCCCAATTAGCAGAGGAATTTAAGGTTCCAAACCAGAGTTAAAGGGAGATCATTGCAGAAGTGCAGCCAATTCAAGTCCAGTTTCCATCCCATGGAATGGATGGAAATGACTGCCTTCCAGGCAGCCCTCAGATTAACACCTCTGCCTGCTGCAAAGTCAACTCAGCCGGCATTTACTGAACTCCTGTGTGTCAGATGCCACTGACATTACAAATGTAGCTGGGCAAGAGTGGGGAACTGGATAAGACAACATCTGTCTTCTTCTAAATGCAAGCGGCCCTCTACCTAAAAGCAGAGCAGTGCAGACTTTAAACACAACAATTTAGAGTCAAATCTCATCTCCCTCACTTACTAGCTGTGACTAGGAAAGGATCACTTATCTGTAAAATGGATATTTCAGTGCTTACCCACCAGATGGTAGAAACTCCAAAAAGACATTCTTTTTGTGGTTTTTTTTGGTTTTTTTTTGAGACAGTCTTGCTCTGTTGCCTGCGCTAGAGCACAGTGGTGTCAGCCTAGCTCACAGCAACCTCGAACTCCTGGGCTCAAGCAATCCTTCTGCCTCAGCCTCCTGAGTAGCTGGGACTACAGGTGCACACCACCACGCCTGGCTAATTTTTTCTATTTTTAGTAGAGATGGGGTCTTGGTCTTGCTCAGGCTGGTCTCGAACTCCTGACCTCAAGTGATCTTCCTGCCTCAGTCTCCCAGAATGCTAGGATCACTGGTGTGAGCCACTGTGCCCAGTCCAAAATGACATTTTGTCTTCCTTTCCCTACCAACAGCTAGCCCAGCCCGGACCTCCCTGTTCCTGCCTTGGAGCGTCCATCACTGCTTCCACAAGAACCATGCGCGGTGGAGGAGTGGATGGCTAAGGACTCTTAGAACCATGGAAAAGAGGAACCCTAGAACTTTTAGAACTCCAGGTATTTCAGAATACATACAGCTCCAGAAGCAGAAAAATGTGAGATGCTAAAGACTCAGTTATCGGTTTACCAGAGCTGACAGTGAAGGAGGACTCCTAGGTGAAACCAACTCTTCTGTATGTGGTTCCTCCCTTCAAAACATCTGCCCCTCCATCCCCAATATGAGTTGAATTTCTCTACTCACCTTTGTTATAATGAAGCAAAATTCTATCAGTTAAAATACATTGGGTCCTAGCTTTATAATAGAGAAAATTTGAAAATAATCTAAATATTCAAGAATAAAGAAACAGTTAAATTATAGAATGATGATGATTTTATAATCATCAGCTGATGCTTTCAGTGAATTTCCTGGCCTAAGGAAATACTCATATTATTAAGCAACATAACAAGATATAAAACTGTATATGCAGCAAGATCTCTAGTATGAAATAAATATTCATGTGTTTATTTTTAAAATAACCCTTATTGAACATTTACCCCAAGCCAGCCACTGTGCTAAGCACTTTATATGGTTAGCTCATTCATTCCTCATGTATATATATATACATATACACACATACACACACACACACACACACACACACACGGAACTAGAAATAAAAACACCAAAATTATTAACAGCAATTATCTGTTATGATCAATTACCTATTAACTATCTCTAAATAGTGGAATTATGGGCGACATTAGTTTTCTTTTTAGTATACTTTTCTGTATTTTCCAAGTTTTCTAAAATAAGCACATGTTAACTTTATAATTAGGAGACTTCAACAGAAGCCATACTTTTTAGTTTATTAAAGCTAATATCTTTTTTTAAAAAATATGAAGCCCTGCTAGGCACAATGGCTCACACCTGTAATCTCAGCACTTAGGGAGGCCAAGGGAGGAGGATTGCTTGAGCCCAGGAGTTCCAGATCAGCCTAGGCAACATCTCTGAGACCCCCTCCATACAAAAAAAATAAGAAAAATTCTCCAAGCATGGTGGTACACCTGTAGTCCCTGCTACTCTGGAGGCTGAAGCAGGAGGATTGCTTGAGCCCAGGAATCCAAGGCTACAGTGAGCTATGATCCTGCCACTGCACTCCAGCATGGGCAACAGAGTGACACCTTGTCCCTAAAAAAAGCATATGTCTGGAAACAAGCAATTTTAGAAAAATAAATACATAAATAAATGAAGCAAATGGCTGGGTGCTGTGGCTCACACCTGTAATCCTAGCTCTCTAGGAGGCCAAGGGGGATGGATTGCTCGAGGTCAGGAGTTCTAAACCAGCCTGAGCAAGAGCGAGACCCCGTCTCTACTATAAATAGAGAGAAATTAATTGGCCAACTAATATATATAGAAAAAATTAGCTGGGCATGGTGGCACATGCCTGTAGTCCCAGCTACTCGGGAGGCTGAGGCAGTAGGATTACTCGAGCCCAGGAGTTTGAGGTTGCTGTGAGCTAGGCTGATGCCACGGCACTCACTCTAGCCCTGAGCAACAAAGTGAAACTCTGTCTCAAAAATAAATAAATAAATAATAAAAATAAATAAATAAATAAACGAAGCAAGCATATGAAGCCCTTTCAACAGCCATCAAGCATTTGCACCTAAGAGAGGGCTGATTTAACAGCTGGCTGCCAATGTTGTACTAATGGACCTGTACTAAAGGAACAGGGCTGGGGATCAAGGGAGGAGGAGAAGGAGTCAGGAGAAACAACTCTGGAATATGAATGAAATCCCAGAATAATGATGACCTTTGAGCTGCATGCGGGACATCAAGGAAAGGGGAAAATAAGGAGTAAGAGAAGAGAAGGTACCAAAAACAAACTACCTGTTTTGGAACTCCATTTAGGGTCTGCTCTGACCCAGAAAGGGAACGTAAGGTGCTCCTCTGGCCTTCCAACCTCCCTACCCCACACCCCTGCACTACCTGCACACTGTTCTGTGTACATCAGCCAGGACCCACCTACCTCTAGAGAACAGAGTAGAAGAGGAAAGGAAAAATCTCTGCTTCAGCCAAACCTTAGGTCTTCAATTTGCTAGTACATAGTGGTCATGTGTCCTCATCTATAAATTGGGGATGAATGTACTCTTCAAACAGGGGTACTCTGAAGTTCAGGTGAGATAGTTATGTTTATATGAGACACCTGGTACCCAGACACCAATGCCCCTACATATACATCTGTGTGTCCACCTGACAGTCTAATAATTTATAATATTATTACTATGAAAAAATTGTTTCCAGGTTTCAAATAATGAAATCATAGTCTCTGAATACAACCATAAACCGGGGTTGATCTACTTTTACATATTTGGTGACTCTAAAAGAGTCACACCTTTATTTCAAAACAAAAGAAATGGATTTCAAAATGGATGCTTTCTATACCACGCCTCACCTGTTGGCAGACCCATGTACCAAGGTCGTGCCTCATATAATTACCATAGTCAAATGCCATAAAAAGCAGGAAGGCATGTATTTTCGTGTGGGCTGATTCATCTCCCAGGCTGCAAGACTTTACGAAAGCCTACAGAATAAAGGGGAAGGGAGCTAGAAATTGAGAAATTCATGGCTGATTGCCATTTGCGTATACCGTTTGCTTCATTCGCTCATACCATTTGAAAGCATTCAGTTTCTCCATGGAACAGTGATCAGAAGCTTCTTAAGATAAAAGGGGATTCGTTCTTTAGAAGACATTTCTCAAAAGCTAAATTCTCATTCGTTTTAAACATTTGAAGACTCACAGCACCTTCTCCCATCCACAAATTCCCCCTTGCCTACACACACCTACAAGTGATCTTTTCAGAGCAGTTCATTCGGTCTCCACCTCATTCATTCCCTTCCACTTAGATGTATCATAAAGACATATTTAGTGTGGCTTCACATTCCAGTTTTTAAATATCCCCTTTGCAATTTCTGACCAGGAGGGTATTCACTGTGAAGCAGAAGAGAGAATTTGTGTTTGTATAATTCAACCTTCTTCTTCATGGGGCTTCTTCTACTGAAGAAGTTGTTTTTCTTATCATGAAGTTCTTCTTGCATTGACTTCCCTCACCCCAGCCAGGTTCCTAGGGACGGGTGGTCTCCATGTGTGAGGGGGACCTCCTAAATGGTGAAGCCAAGTAAGCACGATCCAGAACTGAAGCGGGCTATTCCTGCACACACGCGTGTGTGCGGGCAGGAGTGAGCATTCCCCGGTGTGCCCCGTATTTCAAACGCTTGAGTAAATACAGGCGCACCGCAAGCACCGAAAAGACCTGTTCAATCACACTGTCAAAGTTTAGATCTCTTTACTTTGCTGCTTTTCTCAGTATCTTTATAAACATACCGTTTTACTCTAATGCCATTAACATTTGCACAAAACTGTTACACAAGAAAAGGAAATAATTGTAACCCGATTTGCTTCACGCAGGGGAACTTGCAAATCACTCTTATCCTAAGTTCCCTATATGAGATTTTTCACCTACAACTAGATAAATTTCTCTGAAAATGACATGTACCCTCTTTTGAGGGGGGAAAATGATTTTAAAGTAAAGTGGATCTCCAGTGAAGGTCCTTTATTCCAAGTGTTAAAAATCTACACTTGATCTTAGCCAAAAGGCCGATAAGCGATTCGCTTAAAAATCTAAAACCAACACGCGTCTGCGCTGAGCCCGCGGGACACTTGGCCCCGCAGCACCGGCGGACGCAACCGCGGGAGGGGGTCACTTGGCCCCGAAGCACCGGCGGACGCAGCCGCGGGAGCCGTGGGCACACCCGCAGGCGCGCCCGCTGCCCGGCGGCCGGAGCGGGGACAGCCGGCCTCCCGGCTCGCGCGTGGGCGGCGATGCGCCCTCACCTCCCCGCGCAGCCGCCGCTGGCGAGACACGCTTCCTGTGCCTATCAGCACCCCGTCAGACCGCAGCCCGGGGGAGGCCGGTGACATCACCCAGCCCCCTGGCGTACCCAAAGCAGCCCGAGGCCAGCCCCAGGCTCCCCGGCGAGGACGCAGAGCCCCGAGTCCTCGGGCACCGGTCAGGGCGCGGGCGCCTGGGCTGGGGACCGCGGCCCGCCCCGCCTCCCGCTCTGCCTAGCGAGGGCTGGCTGGGCCGGGGTCCCCGCAGCCGCCAGGAGCCGCCCAGGTACAGACGTGGCCGAAACAGCCCTCACCTTCTCCTCGGTCCAGGCTGCGGCGCCAGCACTGACCGCCCGGGCTGCCGAGGGCAGGGCGGCCAGCAGCAGCAGCAGCAGGTGGAGGGTGCCCACGACGCGCCGGCCCCTGCCGCCTGCCATCTCTCCCAGGCCGTCTGGGCGCCTGTTCCCCGGGCCGCCAGCGGTCACGAGCCCGGGAACGCGCGTCCTTCGCCTTCCCACTTCTCCACCCTTGGGTCGACTGCGCCGCCTCCCCATCGCCTCCGGTCGCCTCCCGCCGCGCGGCGCAGGCCGAGCCGCAGCCCTCCTCCCCGACCTTGGCAACCCCGGGGCTGGGAGGCCCTGGGTGACACAAGCTTCCGAATCCAAGCCAACACGGACGGCCACTTCCTCATCTTGAAGAGGATGAAAGGAAGGGACATGGAAGAGCCTTTTTATAATATGATCTCCAATGCCAAAACAGGGAATAGAAAGGGGAGGAAGGATTCATCAGTTCCCTGGGAGTTAGGAAGTGTTTCCCACAGCTCCTAAAGAAGAGGGGGACAGGGACTCAACATTTGCTGAACACTGTACCAGGCACTTTTCCTCTGCGCTTTTCTGATGTGCCCTTATTGAACCCATTAATCTCATTTTACAGATGAGGAAACTGAGACCCTCTAAAGAAGATCTGGACTGTAATCCTCAAGAAAAAGTATTTCCTCTGTAACAGTGCATCTTGATCTTTTTCTCTTTTTTCTCACAAATAGTTGCCTTGCTTCATGGGAGATGCACCATCATACTCCCAAATTAGCCAACTTAAAAAGTCTGGTTGAGGGCCGGGCGCCGTGACTGACGCCTGCAATCCTAGCACTCTGGGAGGTTCAGGTGGGAGGATTGCTTGAGGTCAGGAGTTCTAGACTAGTCTGAGCAAGAGCAAGACCCAGTCTCTACTAAAAGAAAAATTGGCACGCACCTGTAGTCCCACCTACTCGGGAGGCTGAAGCAGGAGGATCATTTGGGCCCACGAGTTTGAGGTTGCAGTGAGCTATTACGATGCCACTGCACTCTTCCCCGGTCTGAAAAAACAAAAAAAGTATGGTTGAAGTAATTATCTGAAATAAATGAGATCTAAAATATTCACAGTGGCTCTGAAGGCAGTCACCTTCTCCAATGCATGCCCCCAAAAGGAATAGCCCAAAACGATTTTAACAACTTTGTAACATCAAAGGTCGTTGTTATCCAGATAAGCCTTGCGAGGAGGAGGGGAAAACATTTCAATTTTGCCTGTACGTTTCTGGGCTAAATAGTCAGGACAATTACATCACCATTCTCTTGTTCCTCCACAGTGAGGATCAGGGCTTGGCCTGCCCTGAGTCATCTCCCCCTAACATATAGTTCCCCCAAAAATCAGGACAAGGACACTGACACAGAACTATTTCCCAGAGAGCAAATGTTTGAAGATAATGAAGGCTGACAGAAAGCCCACCCATTCTATTAATATTTTCCTAGGCTGAGCTCTAAGAGTGAGTTTTGTAAAAAGAGAGAGGGCTTCCCTAGGAATCCACTGTTCTGCCCCCCTCTGGAGCTACAAGGGAAGACAGGATGGAAGTATCTCCTTTTCTGATGTTCAAAATTGCTAACCCTACTCATCTCCCAGAGTTTTCAGTGAAAAGTTAAATCTCCAGACTTAAATAAAATTAAATGGCTTCTTTATTACATCCATGGACAGTTCAGATAACCAGACCACTTAAGAACTTTCTATTGATTGGTTTGATATTCAGAACAAAACCACTATCACATTCCCCAATATATTTCTGCTCTTGCTGCCTAGACCAACCTTGAAATAGTGGGTTTCCTGAATGGCTGGGTAATATGAAACTATTTGTTTTTCTTACCCTAATACCTTTTTATCTTTTCACAGTATGATTCCTATATAAAAGGGGAAGTAGAAATAGCAAACCTAGGTGAAACAAAATGTGAAAGATAATACCATGCTAAGTGTAAGCAATTCAAAATAAGAAATATGGCAATACGTTAAAATGTTAACACAGAATTTGATGATGATTTTCTATTCCCTAGGGTTCTCCAGTCTTGGTTATATTTAAGCCAGTAAGATGCTGTTATAGTTTGGTATCTGCAGGAAGCAGACCACAAAACAGAGTTGAGCATGCAGGATGTGTATTCGCCAGTGCTCTTGGGACAAACCCCTGTGGGAGGAAGAAGGAGGGACAGGACAGGGCAGAGGTAGAAGTTAGCAGCAAAGTGGGCCCAACAGCTGCACTCAACCCCCTAGGGAGCCTTGAAGCCGAAATAGCCCGTCAGAGTTGTCCCATGGTGGGCCAAAATGGCTGGGGCTTTATCTCCACGCCTCAATGGAGTGATTTCCTGCAAGCTGCTCTACAGCCAAAAGAGCTGACCACTGAGGCTGTCTGTCAGGAGGTCTCCTGCGGCAGGAGCAGGGTCCTTCCCTGGGGGGATATGAGCTGTGTATCTCTGTATTCACCACAATCATATCCGTGTGATGTATCTGGCACGAATCTAAAACACTTCATGCCATGAGGCTGATTTCAATAAATTATTTTGTATTCACGTGGGCTATTCTGATAACTTCCCACAAATCTACAAATCCAATGCAACTATTTATATAGTCCTGCATTCCTTATTCATACCTTTTCTTGTGTCTTACATGCTAAATATCCTTCTTCCTGCCCTCACTCATTCTTCTTTACTGTCCGCCTTCATTCAGAAAACTTTTAGAAATCCCTTATATCTGCTATTTTTTTCCCTCCTACAAATTTTCTTTTCTTCTAACTCTTCCTATGGAAGATAACCAATAACTTTTACATTTTAAATAAAATTCCAGGCCCTGTTTTTCATCATGGAAAAAAATTAATTGTCTACACAGTGATACCATTCTGTTCACAAATAGAGAGACTTTCCCCTCCATTATAGTACAGATTCTACACTGTGATGTGAAAGGTGTGAAGGACCCAAGTACCAAAACGAATCTTTTCCACAAACCTGCCACAGCACCATGTTCCCACACCGGGTCCCACCTTTAAAATGACACCATTATACCAATGCAGTAATGAGCAGAAGATTTTACTAAATCATGGGAGTGTGGTCCATGGATCCTGGGATTCCTCAAGACCCTTTTGGATATCTCTAAAGTCAAACAATTTTTATAATAATACCAAACCAATATTTGCATTGATTTTGGACTGATGTTGCAAAAGCAGTAGTGGGTAAAACTGCTGGCACCTTAGCACTAATCAAAATAGGACACAAAACTATGCTATTAAAATAAAACAGGCCGGGCATGGTGGCTCACGTCTGTAATCCTAGCACTCTGGGAGGCCGAGGTGGGCAGATCATTTGAGCTCAGGAGTTGGAGACCAGCCTGAGCAAGAGTGAGACCCCATCTCTACTACAAATAGAAAGAAATTAGCTGGACAACTAAAAAATATATATATATAAATTAGCTGGGCATGGTGGCACATGCCTGTAGTCCCAGCTACTCAGGAGGCTGAGGCAGGAGGATCGTTTGAGCCCAGGAATTTGAGGTTGCTGTGAGCTAGGCTGATGCTACAGCACTCTAGCCTGGGCAACAGAGTGAGACTTTTGTCTCAAAAAAAAAAAAAAAAAAAAAAAAAAACAACTATACTTGTAGTCACTGTATTTTTTACTGCTTGTGTGTCTGTAACTGTTTTTTTCTGAAGAGGAATTTGGAAAGTCAGTATTTATAGGAGATAAGGCATACAGAAAGAAAAAGGAAGAGGAAGGTGGGTAGTGAGGCAAATGGTTACATTCTTGTGAGGCCCAGGAAATCCACATTTTACATAAGATAAAGTGAATGTTTGAAGAGAAAAAGGGAATAAAGGAAGAATCAGTAATGTAGATGTCCCTGGGTAGGTGGAAGAATGATTGATCTTGTCTTGTCTCTGTTCTGCACCTGGGAATATAAACTTGTAATCAATATTACTAGTGCAGAATCCAGCAGACTTTAGTTTTAGGAGCTAGACTTAACCTGTAGACCTAAAGTTACAATTTGCATGTCCTTGTTTATGGGAGACTAGCAAGGAATTTCCTTATGAATGATCTGTGAGGGCAGTCATTGTAGATGAGAGAGTTCTCTTGCCTTTCCCTGGAGATCTGGCGACTGCATAATGTCAGTAACAGCTATTTGTTTGGAAGTGGGTGTTGCGTGATTCAGCCTTCAAGTTTGACCTTCCCTTTTGCATAACGAGTTGAAGGGTGTGGTCCTGAGATTTTCTTTTCCCTTTACAAGATGTATACATCCATGAAACCACCATAATCAAGAGAAGGAACACATTCACCACCCCAAAGTTTCCTCCGGTTCCTTTATAATCCATCCCTCCACTGCCTAAGTCCATGCACCCACCTATCTGCCACACTGTCTTCCAAAATTGTTATACCATTTTACACAACCCCAAGCAGTGTGTGCGAGTTTCAGTTCCTCCACACCCTCATCAATAGTCAGTGTTTAATTTTAACCATTAGAATAGGTGATTGATTTTACTCATTTTGTCTATCGTATATTTGCCCTATTTCCTATTTCATTGGTTTCTGCTCTAATCTTTATTTCCTTTCTTCTGCTTACTTTGGGTTTACCTTGACATTCCCTTCCCATTCTATTTAAGTTTTATAAAATGAAAGTGTAAGTCATTAATTTGCAATATTTCATTCTTTCTAATCAGAGGACTCAGACATCACAATTTCCCCCTAAGAGCTACTTCAACGCCACCCCACAAATTTTAGTATGTTGAGTTTTTTTAATTCAATTCAAAATACTTTCTAGTTTCCCTTTGAGTTCTTCTTTTACCTATGAGTTGTTTAAATTGTTATTTAGTTTCTAAATGGTTGAGACTTTCCCTGCTATCTTTTTGTTTGCCTCAAATTTAATTCCACCATGGTTAAAGACTATGTATAGATAAATCACGTTTTTTGAGCATTATTTTATAGCCCAGAATATGATCCATCTTGGTTAATGTCCCTTGTGCACTTAAAAAGAATGTGTATTCTGTTGTTATCAGATAGTGTGTTCTATAAATGTCAATCAAATTAAGGTGATTAATAGTGTTGCCCAAATCTTCCATATAATAACTGATTTTTTTTGTCAAGTTCTATTAATTTTTATATCATCTACTCTAAGCTTTCTTGTTAAGTGCATAAACATTTAGGATTGCAATGTCCTTTTTACTGATTGCTTTGTCATTATGAAATGACCCTCTCTGTACTTGGTGACATCCTGTGCTCTGAAATCTACTTTTTTCAAATATTAATATAATCACTCCAAATTTCTTTAAACTATTGTTAGTATGG